TCAGTGATCATTCATTCCTCAACTAACTTACATTTGGAACATGTTATTAGACATAGATAGGTGTTAAATGAAATCAGCAGGTCATATGAATGTTCATGTTTAGATTTGGTTCCTTTTTATACTAAATTATAAAACTAAAAATGACCTCATATTTTTTTTTCTTCAGCCAGGCTTCTGATGAGCTTATGAATGATTACACCACTCACCTTGCAATTTAATTAAGAAATATCAGCGCCATTTCTATTGAACCTTAGACCCGGACCATAAAAATAGTATATCAAAACACTAAAAATTTCAATTACACCAATTGAAAAGGACCCTATTTCGTTCCCTTAATAACATCGTTTATAACACGAGCGCGGGGATATTTCTCTTTACGATAACCTGATTGATTTACAATTTTAATGTTCTTGTTATTCCATTCACGTTATTCTATTATGTGTTCAGTTTCACGAGTGAGTCTGAAATGCTCGTTTTATTGATATGTAATTATAGACTTTATCAGAGTTTTGCCGAGACAAAGTTATTTATATATATTTATATATATATATATATATATATATATATATATATATATATATATATATATATATATATATATATATATATATATATATATATATATATATATATATATGTGTGTGTATATCACGAAAATAAACACGTGATTAAGAATGTGACCACGGAGGAAAAATGAAACAGGAAATTTCCTTAAGTACTTTCGTATATTAAATACATCTTCAGAAGGTCATTTTACAGATCGAGTGATGGGTATAAATAGGCAGGAGAGAGTGGTGAAGTAAGGTGAGGTACAATACTTGGACAACGCAGAAGGCCCATTGGCCCATCAGATGCACCCAATTAGCCCATCCGATGTAGCCCAATGGCCCATCTGATACAGCAAACATACAAGCATAATACATAGGTAATTATAACATAAAGAGGTAAATATATACAATAAATTAGTGAGACAAATGTTTTTCAATGATTCTACTTAAATCGCCCTTTAGCTGATCTATTAGAAATGGATCTAAGTTATATAGACCACTGCTAATATTCAAATTACTTTCTTTGGTGATCTGTATCAAAGCGGATTCAATTATGTTTCTGTTATAGGTGCTTTTACAAAATTGTCTTTTTGTAAAAGCAAAAATTGTCAAAAAATCTATTACAAATGGATCTAAGTTATATAGACCACTGCTAATATTCAAATTACTTTCTTTGGTGATCTGTATCAAAGCGGATTCAATTATGTTTCTGTTATAGGTGCTTTTACAAAATTGTAAAAGCATCTATAACAAAAGCAACTTCACCACTCTCTCCTGCCTATTTATACCCATCACTCGATCTGTAAAATGACCTTCTGAAGATGTATTTAATATACGAAAGTACTTAAGGAAATTTCCTGTTTCATTTTTCCTCCGTGGTCTGACATTGTCATATATATATATATATATATATATATATATATATATAATATATATATATATATATATATATATATATATATATATATATATATATATATATATATATATATATATATATATATATATATATATATATATATATATATATATATATATATATATATATATATATATATATATATATATATCTATATATATATATATATATATATATATATATATATATATATATATATATATATATATATATATATATATATATATATATATATATATATATATATATATATATATATATATATATATATATATATATATAATGATTTAGTACTTGATGGTTCGATAGATTGCTTTAGGTTTCCGATATATAATAATTGTTTGTAAATAAACCCTAATTATAAAATAATAATTTAAAAAAAAATTCAAAATAGGATAAAAAAAATAAATTGCAAACACAAAATAGTTTGTCGGTGGAGAATTTAAATAAAATATTAAAAAAACATATTACATGTATGAAACATGTATTTTTTCAAACTGATTGGAAAAAAACAGAGGTTAGACATCCATAATTGTAATTTTAATTTAAAGTTTAATATGCAGGCTTCAGAACCGATATTCCCTGGTTAAGGGCTTGAATGTTGTGTGTGGGAATATTTGTTTGGGGAGATTTTATTACTGAAAGCCAAGAATCAATATATTGATCCAGAGGTTGATTTATTGAGCAGCTAACTCAGTCACGGGCACATAATGTCAAACAGATACACACAAACGGATACACGCAGGGGTCTCGCGGCTGAGCATAGGGCGATCGGGAGTCGTAATCCAAAGGCCGGGGTTCGATTCCAAGTCGAGGCAGAATAAATGAGCAGGGGTTTCATTCACCTGAAGCCCTTGTTCACCTAGTAGTAAATAGGTAAATGGAAATTAGACTGCTGCTACGGGTTGCATCCTTAGGATGTGTGAGTGAAAAATAGCAAAGAAACAGAGGTCGGGAGTCAATACATTAGACAACCGATGGTTAGAAAGGCGGGGTCCAAGAGCTAACGGCTCGATTCCGCAGGCATGAAACGTTGTAAATATACACAGGCATACAACAACACACTCACCGTGTGACGGTAAGTGTATGACGGTGTGACAACTCACACACACGGCTCACAGAGACACACACACAGACAAACACGGGTACAAATTAACAGGGGTTTCATTCACCTGAAGCCCCTGCTCATTTGGGCACACAGACAGATACAGCGACACATACCGGCACAAACACTCACACACACACACTCACACTCACACACACTCATCCACAGGGGTACCGGTGGCTGTGTGAATAGCACGCTGGGCACGTAATCCTGTGGCCGGGGTTCGATTCCTGGCGCCGGCGAGAAACAAAAATGGGCAGAGTTTCTTTTACCCTGATGCCTCTATTACCTAGCAGTAAATAGGTAAATGGGAGTCAGCCAGCTGTTACGGTCTGCTTCCTGTGTGTGGGGGGGGGGGATAGTTAGTAGTTAGTAACAGTTGATTGATTGACAGTTGAGAGGCGGGCCGAAAGAGCAGAGCTCACACAAGCACAACTAGGTGAATACACAGACCTGTTGTATAGTATGTTGTATAGCCCATATCAAGAATAACTTCAGAGGAAAATGACAGGTTGGCACACATAAGATCGGCCTTTAAAAACCTGTGTAGGGAATCATTCAGAACTTTGTATACCACATTTGTCAGACCAATTCTGGAGTATGCAGCTCCAGCATGGAGTCCATATCTAGTCAAGCATAAGACTAAACTTGAAAAGGTTCAAAAGTTTGCCCCCAGACTAGTACCCGAACTGAGGAGTATCAGATACGAGAAGAGACTACGGGAATTAAACCTTACGTCGCTGGAAGACAGAAGAGTTAAGAGGGACATGATCACCACATACAAGATTATCAAAGGAATTTTCTTTTCCGATAAAAGGAAAAGACAGATAAAGACAGGGTAGAGAAAGACATGCTATTTAACACAAGAGGCACACGCACTAGGGGACACAGGTGGAAACTGAGTGCCCAAATGAGCCACAGAGATATTAGAAAAAAACTTTTTTAGTGTCAGAGTGGTTGACAAATGGAATGCATTAGGAAGTGAGGTGGTGGAGGTAGCCTACATACACAGTTTCAAGTGTAGATATGATAGAACCCAATAGGCTCAGGAACCTGTGCACCTGTTAATTGACGGTTGAGAGGCGGAACCAAAGAACCGAAGCTCAACCCTCGAGAGCACAACTAGATGAATGCACACACAAACACATAGACACATACAGAATAAAAAAGACCCAAAAACACACAAACCACATAAGCACATTCATAAATGTATATTATGCAACTAAGCACTTTAGGAAGTGCTGTTACCGAGTTCACATTTCCACTGTACAAGGCACATCTATATAAAGTTGTTTTTCTCGGTATCCGGAACGCTAACATTGGGGACATTATTTGTGGGTGTTGGACGCCCCGATATTCCCAGTTGTGGGATACAGTAATGGGTTTTGGACGTGGCGTCGCTGTCCGTGTCCTCTATGTGTATGTATGTGTGTGTGTGAGTGTGTGTGTGTGTGTGTGTGTGTGTGTGTGTGTGTATGTGTGTGTGTGTATGTGTGTGTGTGTGTGTGAGTGTGTGTGTGTGTGTATGTGTGTGTGTGCGCGCACAAATACTTGTCTATACCTGCAATCATTCGCACGAACCTGAGAATGCAGTCACATATGATTATAGGCGAGCATATTTACCGATTTATATATGTTAAATACATGCTTAACGCAAAACTGAAATCATATACGTTCTCACAATCTAACAAACACACACACACACACACACACACACCTCTGTTGACCTACATTTACATCATTATACATTTAAATAAAATCGCTAGAATTATCCTCTATCAATATTCAACACAACCCTTTTCACTCTTTCATGTTAAATAGTTTATAACACGCACGAGCAGATAAAACTACAAATTGTGTATCAGTTTGATGGACGCATTAATGACCTGCTGCTCGTACTTGGCATGGTACTACTCTTATATTTCAACTTTCTCCCTGGCCAAACAGTTGGGTCAAGTACTTACCCAGGTATTACTAGGGCATAATACAGCTTTTCAAAGTATTTCTAAGAATTTTCAAAGTATTAAGGCTCTTTAAAGTAATTGTAAGACGTACTAAGTCTTATCAGAGCTCTGTTAGGAAATAGGGATTCCCAAAAATATTACTTGGGTATATAAAAATTCTTGTGACTATTACTGATGTTCGATTAAACTTAGTGAAGTATTTCAAGAGATGTAAAGACCCCTCTAAAGTATTACTATACGTGATACATAAACTTACTTCATGCATCTCTAGCACTAATTATTTTCCATAAAAAGATTCAGAATTAATCAAGCATTATCAGATTCAGTTTGGTTCTCCCAAACCTGTGAACGTGAACGTCATGTCTCCCAGTCCTTATTTAACTAATTAATGAATGAATAAGTTCAAAGCTCATCAACGCGGTTCAGGGCAGGGAAACACTCTCCTAATTAATTTCTGAGACGCCATGGCACCTCCGGCTTCAACTAGACGAGGCAAGTCGACCACACCTAACTGCCTTGACACTCTTCAAGGAGGGAGTGGGAGGTAAGTGCTCGGAAATTTTGTGAAGACTTACGTGATTAATATCGACACCGACCCTTGGCTTCCATCATCTGTAATTTCATAAAAGGAATTTTTGATTTACGTGAGAGAGAGAGAGAGAGAGAGAGAGAGAGAGAGAGAGAGAGAGAGAGAGAGAGAGAGAGAGAGAGAGAGAGAGAGAGAGAGAGAGAGAGAGAGAGAGAGAGAACAGAAACAGATATGAGGGAGAAAGACAGACCCCGGGTAACGCCGAGTACACTCAAGTACACTACGTGAGACGATGTCTGTTTGTCCAAATTTGGAGGCCAGACGCTCGGGGCTAGTCTCCCCTAACTTTGCAGGGGGGATGGTCTAGGGTATGGGACATACATATGCATACATAGACCTAAGTTAAATACTTTAAGAAATATTAGCACATGCGGACGGTATGATGAAGCTGAGTGTGAAATATTTGGTGTGATTCCCCTAAAGTTGTTTTTGATCATAATATATGTTCTGAGACACATACACGTCATGCAGGCACATGCAGTTGTTTCAGTGCTTTTTAATAATAACTTTTCTGAGAGAAAAGGATGGGGGGGGGAAGGGGTGCAAGAGAAGGAAGAGGGAAGAGGAAAAGGAACTATCGGGCGAAAATGCCAGGCTTTTATGTCAGTATCGCACTTGGATAGAACTATGAAAAGGATTTGGGATGGGACGGGGGGAAGGAATGGTGCCCAATTATATGTGGGAGAAGGCAAAGGGATAGACAAAGGGAAGGGACAAGGGGGGGGCGGGTCAATGGGAAGATGGGGTGCAGAGTAGGGAAGAGAGGAAAAGAGTGGAAATAGGGAGGGGAAGAGATCTGGGTACATCCGGATACCCATTGTATATATGTGTATATGTGTATATATATATATATATATATATATATATATATATATATATATATATATATATATATATATATATATATATATATATATATATATATATATATATATATATATATATATATATATATAATATAAATGCTTGTTGGAGTCGAGGTTGGAGGGGAGGAGGAGATAAGAAAGAGGGAGATAGAGAAAAAAGGGGGAAGATATAGAGAGGGAGAAGAGGAGGGTAGAAAAAAGACAGGGAAGATGCGGGGCGGTAAAGAGGGGACGTAGGGAGAGGAGAAAAAGAGTGGAATATGGTAGTGGGAGAGACAGATTACCCCGGGCAACGCCGGTGACTACTCCTAGTACACGTGTATATAAACAATATTATTTTATTAACCTGATCACATGTAAAAATTTAAATGAAAACAAAATTAATAAAAACACATGAATTAATATTTTTAATTAAAATACACTTTATTAGTTATCTTTTCATTAAAATTTTTACTTATGATTGTGTTTCTAAAGTAATATTACAGTAAAGTAACGTACACTGTAGCTGAAATATTTTTTAAACAGAAGCCGAAATTATTTTATTTCTTCTTAGCTTATTGAGATTTAATATCCGAGTTTCATTAAGATTTTTATTATTACCAGCTTAGATTATAGCACTATAATCGTGATCATTACCGTGTTCGCTGTGTCATCGGGTTGTGAAATGACCGAAACGTCGTCGTTTCTCCACTTTCTAATGTGTGGTTTGGTCATCATATCTTCAGCCTCGTTATTGTCACTCATCATCTACATATGTGTTCTTCTGTACCGTTATTTGTAAAATACTCCACTGTACCTTTGCTCGTTTTGATCTCCACGAACTCTACTCTACTCTACTTACGAATTATATTTATACTGAGTTTCAGTCATTTCCTAATCTTACGCTATCCACTTATTGACTATTCTAACACTGAAGCAATTGTTTCTGACCTCTCTGAGACTCGTCTTTGCTTATAGTTTCCGTCAATGACCCCTCGTTGTGCCTGTCCTGGCGGAGGTATGCTAGGGTGTTCCTGCCTGTCTGTTCATATTGATAAATACGGTACTATGCTCTGGTTGTTCTGATTACTACAAGCCAAGTGCTTCAATATATCACTCTGTCATTGGCTTTCTGCTGAAGCTAGTACTAGAGAATGTTTATTGTTGGTCTGTTATAGTTTGGCATACTATATATAAATGTTTAAATGTCTTTAGACATTAATCACGGTAAATATTTTCTGAGGTGTGGTGGTTTTGCTCGCGTTGCCATAACGAGTATGATACAGTGTTTTGTGTATTTCTCATGTGATTTATATTCATTTTTTTTAATAATTGATTTTAATTATAGTTGGTTTTGCATTATTCTTTCCATCTCTTTATCTGCAATTTGTTTCCCTCTCTTTCCTTCGTCTTTCTCTCGCTTATGTTACCGCAATTTATCCGTGTTCTTAGGAATATCTCATCATCGTTATTACAGCTCGGCCTGAAGTTATAATGTTCAAACTCCAGACGTTCCATTACTCGGCAACGCCTCTATACTACCCCCCACACCCTCACACTCCCCACGTGCCTCTATTCCCCCCACGCCAACACACTCCTACACTCCCACACCCCATTCACACAGGCTTACATGCACCACATTACTGATGACTGACGCCTACACCCCTCCATGTTCCAAAACCCTGCACACCCTACAACATATACCCCCCACGCCTCTATCACTCACACACACACACACACACACACACACACACACACACACACACACACACACCTCCAGGCCCTAACGACCCGACACCAACAGGGCAACAAGCCAACTAGCCTTCAGGCCCAAACCATCCATGCCCTCACGTTTCAATGTTAACATATCCACACGCCCACATCCCGCCTTCACAAGCCGCCACATTCTCTGTGATATAATTAGTGCCTTAAGCTGCCACCAAACGTTCCGTGTTTTAATTAATATCATCCAACGTCGTTGTCCAAAGTTGGACGTGTCCAGTGGCTTTATTTTTATAATTTTTTCGATCACTGCAAATCCTCCATGTCTGCTTCCTTCTTTTCTTCCTTCATTCCTTCCTCCCTCTGTCTCTCTGTCTGTCTGTCTCTCTCTCTCTCTCTCTCTCTCTCTCTCTCTCTCTCTCTCTCTCTCTCTCTCTCTCTCTCTCTCTCTCTCTCTCTCTCTCTCTCTCTCTCTTTCTCTCTCTCTCTCCCTTTATTCCCTCTCTTTTTCCCCTTCCTTCCAGCCATCCCTATCCATCTTAAAATAAAATAAAGAATATATAAAATAAAGTAAAGAATTTTAAAATAGAAATAAAGAAATTTATTTCGTCTATTGGCGTAATGCATTCATCCAATTTATTCTTCTATTTAAAGGCAAATTCCATTGTAAATTTAATTGTAACTCGATCTCGAGGTCGTAAATTTAAAAGACATTTTCAATCACAATTTTCTTTACTATTGAGACGAATTCAGTTTCATCTGTCAGATTCCCCGTTAAATCAATATCCCAACTGTTTGTCTTTTACCAGCAGCATCTATCTATACACCAGGTGTATAGATAGATGCCTTCTCCCCATTGTGCACTAATGTATAAAAAGATAGTCGGCTGATAATCAGCTGCCCACTATTGTATACACTCGGGCCAGTATTACCTCGTTATCACTTTAGCCGGCTAATACCACAATTTCTCCCTTTGTTTACCTCATGTTTAACACGAATCCTGACGCAACGGAGCTTTTGGTAATACTGGCTTTATCAACATAGCTTTATCAGTGTGGTTTTATCATCATTATGGCCTTATCAACATAACTTTATCGACAAGGATTAATCAACATATCTCTATGGATGACATATCAAAGATGTAAGCACCATTATGATACTAGAAACTTGAGCGCTATTATTCCGAAGACTTTAGGCTGGTAATAAGATCTAACCTTTACATTAACAAAGACTCCCGAGGGCTTTAAAGGGATATTAATACGACCTGAGGGACAATAATATACATGTGATGCAAACATATTGATTCGCGATTATAATTACACGGTAATATTAGGTTCAAACGCTATCGATTGCTTTCCAGCAATCACCTAGTATGCATATGTGATTCTTATTGCAATATGAGTGCTTTTTGAGTAGGTAGCCTTTAATTTCCTTATACCATGTACTTACCTCATCAATATATGCTACGATCCTTTAAGTGACAAAAGGCTTAAAGATTGGTATTGTTTCGTTTGCAATTGAACCATGATACTAACGACTTGGTTTAGTGATCACGGTGACTCTTTAGGAAAGGTTTTCGTATTGAATTGTCGAAACCCATTTGGCTTAACCTGTCAGAACATTTTATTTTACGTGACAGGAACATATTGGTATGACCTTTAAAGACACCGCGGTCTACCCTGTCAGGATATCATGGTTTGAGTAGTGAAAACAAATGGTTTGACTTGGCCGAATTTCCTTGGATTTTCCTAACAATTTTTTAAATTGTTCACCTATTTAAACAACCGCCAATTAATAAGTAAACAAGAAATATTATTTGACCTATGATATATTAATAAATATTTCCGTCATAATTCTTTTGTTAAAAATATAAAATTTTGCCATTCCTAAAGTATAAATTTATTGAATGGTGTTAAAACATTTTTAGAATATTGTTTATTATAGTTTTCTTAGAATTAAGCGTTTCACTTGAGCGTTATTTCTGGCACATCGTAAAAAAATAACATACTGGTGGTGTTAATTTAGTGATATATTTAATGTGTTCTCATATTTATACCTTCTGCTTCCTGAGATTTTACTTAAATTGCATGAGTTTATACACACACACATATATATATATATATATATATATATATATATATATATATATATATATATATATATATATATATATATATATATATATATATATATTAGGTTAGGTAGGTTAGGTAGTCGAAAAAACATTAATTCATGAAAACTTATTGTATTATTCTCTGTCTCTTCTCTTCTCTGTCTGTGCTAGCGGGGGTTAAAGTTCTGTCTATGTGAGTCTCTCTCTCTCTCTCTATCTCTTTCTCTCTCTCTCTTTCTCTCTCTCGCTCTCTCTCTCTCTCTCTGCTCAGAGCCTGCAAAAATGCAAAATATATGCTCTACAATTATAAAATGTATGCAGAACAATATTATACTATTGTTACTTTGATGCAACGTTCTAACAACGTAGTGGTCATGTTCAGTCTGATGAACATCTGAAAATCTGCTGAAAAACCACACCCGCATTTCAGACGTTATAGGAGTTGTTGGTTCTCATAACAGGAACTAATCCTACTTAAGGTGGAGCGTAATGGATCGACCCCCAAACCCTCTATGTCAGACCTCATACAATCACAAATCAACATGGAAAGTTGCGAGACTAACCGTAAGCGTTTGGTCTCCACCGTCTCTTCGCCTCTCTCCTTCTATCCATCTCTACCTATCTACCTCTCAGATCGTCTTTTCAGCATGTGCAATAGTAGAATTATGCAACTACATGATCAGTTTCGGGTCATGCATATTGACCTCATTGGAAATTCAATGAAAATGCCGTCTGGACTTTCAGGGAAAATGCAAAAGTTTCGCTTCCATCCTGCGAACAGCTAACTCAAGTTTACATTTTCAAATTTATTCAGTGAAATTGAAAAAAGGTAGGATACAGAAAAGCATCAGAGGGGGTGAAGTCAAAAATTGCTTCCCATCATGAAAGCAGTCTCAGGAATAAAAGGTAAATGATCTGCCTGGTAGAAATAGTATTCCAGGATCCGCCATATAGAAACAGTCACACAAACACACACACATTTATATAGCCTATAGGAAACAAACTTCCCTTAAATTCCTCTTAATATCCATTTTTTTATCCAAGCAGATAAGAAACTTAACTTTGTAACCGTGTATAATAGAGTGCACAACATTATATATTACATATATATATATATATATATATATATATATATATATATATATATATATATATATATATATATATATATATATATATATATATATATATATATATATATATATACACACAAACATTTATATACACTTTGCAAGCACTTTCATAAACTCGTATACTTATGTGTACTAACAAAAACGTGCATATAGTTATATGTACTTACAAATACGTACACCTAAATAAATTACATATACTACATATAGTATATGTAATTTATACATAGTACATATAATTACAAACACACAAATACTCACACACATGTAAACAAACACCACTATAAACACAGAGGAAACAAACATTCTGACACATAAACCACTAACGATTTCGTAGACAGTTTTTCAGATTGAAGAAACCACCTCACTGCCTCTCCCGACGAGCTCACGACGAAGTGGCAATTAGTCGCATGTCTGTAACGCCTCAGAGCCCGAGATCGATGCTTGTGCCGACCCTCGCCCTCGTGACGGTAAGAGTGTAGGGGCTGAGGTGCCTGACCTTCTTGGAGTTAACCTTCTCGACCTTCAGATGGGATGTTGACTTTTACCAAAGTTGATCATGGGGTGTCTCGGAGAGAAGGATGTGTGTGTGTATGTGTGTACTCTCCTATTTGTACACACCTATTTGTGCTTGCAGGGGTGGAGCTCTGGCTCTTTGGTCCCTCCTCTCAAGTGTCAATCAACTGGTGTACAGATTCCTGAGCCTATTGGGCTCTATCATATCTACATTTGAAACTGTGGATGGAGTCAGCCTCCACCATATCGCTGCCTAATGCATTCCACCTGTTAACTACTCTGACACTGAAAAAGTTCTTTTTAACGTCCCTGTGGCTCATTTGGGAACTTAGTTTCCACCTGTGTCCCCTTGTTCGTGTATCACCAGTGTTTAATAGTTTATCCTTGTCTACCCTGTCAATTCCCTTGAGGATTTTGTAGGAAGTGATCATGTCTCCCTTCACTCTTCTGTCTTCCAGTGTCGTAAGGTGCATTTCCCGCCGCCTTTCCTCGTAACTCATGCCTCTTAGTTACGGGACTAGTCTAGTGGCATACCTCTGAACTTTTTCCAGCTTCGTCTAGTGCTTGACAAGGTACGGGCTCTGACGGAATTCAACGAGCGTACGGACAAGGTACGCTCTGCCACATTGTTTCTCGCCGGCGCCAGGAATCGAACCCGCGACCACAGGATCACGCGTCCAGCGTGCTATCCAGTCAGCCACCTGCCCCCTGGCTGGTGACTGACTGGACAGCACTGGACAGTGTGTGTGTGTTTTGCCTCCGTTGTTTCCGTGATGCGTGGAACACTATGAGAAGGTAACGGAAGAACATGTCTTCCTGGATGACCGAATTCACGCTTTTAAACTGCTACTCAAGCACCAGCGCCACTGTCTTTAGCTTTAGCATTTGCCCTTTCTTTCTTACTCTAATATAATACGTTAAATATTTTACTTAGCGTGGAAACAGGGGCTTGCATTCTCTCCATAGACAATCTAAAACCCTGTAGATACAAACTTCTCCAGTGACGAAAATGTCCTTGTAGATTTCTGAGATTATGGGTTCCAGTGCGTGTAGGTACAAGGGATTCAGGGTTCCTGAGATTGTGAATTCCAATGAATATACGTTATAGTGATTGTGAGTTCCTGGGACTGGACCCAGCGAGTGTGGGTTTCTACGACTGGAATCAAATCACCGTGGATTAATGTGTATCTGGGCAACCAGTACTTGAAAATTTTCAAAATGTTTCAAGAGAAAGAGACGGAATTCAACGCTCTTCCTCGGACATCTATCCTATGTCCTACACACTCCTCCATCTCCCTTCACATCCCACAGATCACTCATTCCGTAAACTCCAACCGCGTTTTCCCTACACCATCTAAATCCCTCAAGTTAACTGCAGATCCCACAAGTTTCTTCCACAAGACTCAACCTCCCTAAGCACCTTCCGCTTTCCTCTAGTGAACCTCCATTGCCGAGAGCACGATCGTTGCAAGCGATCTGCAGTTGGTTTAATATAAATGATCAAGCATCATTCAGTGTTCGTGGTATCCGGATGGAAACTGATGTTGGCATTTGTTTTACTGTTGTACAACCAAGAGGAGGAAATTAGAAGTCGGGTTATACGAAGGAAATGCCAAATAAAGTCCCTTATTTTTTGTTTCCTACCCTTTCATCTATCTTGCAAAAAAAAAAAAAATACTTGCGTTGGTCCCGGAGAAACAAGATTAATGTTTACTTTTGGAGCTAATGGCGTCACTGACTGATATAACTACCACTATTTTCCTGCCTCACCACCACTACTACCACCAGCTTTGCCGCCTACACTGCAGGTTGCCACCACCAGCACCCTCCCTTACCAGTACCATTACTCACCAAAATTACCCAACACCGTCACTACCACAACCACTGCCATCTCTCACCCAACCTCTCACCAGTACACATAACTACAACCTTTCACCATCTCCTACTACCGACCCCTTACTCCCACATACCACCACCACTACCACTCGCTGCTTACAACCATACCACTCACCACAACTCACCACGTCACCTTTCGGCTTCACGCCTCACCACCAACACCAGCTCCCTGACAGCAACAACCACTACCACTTGCCTCCAAAGCCTCATGACAACAACAGCTACCACCATTTTCCAATGATAGCCCCCCTCTTGTCGAAAACACCTACCACCACTTGCCACCACCATCTCCCCATCAACAGCCACAACTACCACACACGCCCGCTGACAACAACATCAACCACCAGCCACCACCAGCCCCTTTGACAGCAACAGCCATCACCAGCCCTCTAACTACAACATCCACAATAACTTGTCATCACAACTTCAGGAAGGCAAGAGATTATGGACTTGAGGACAACAGAAGTGCAAAGGGAGAGAGAAATAGAGAAGATAAGAATTATACAGATGATACTGAGCACTTAATACATATAAAAAAGAAGTGGTCGGAAAACCAAGGTAAGCACTTGGCAATGCAGGAAAGAGGCAGAAAGAATAAAATCCTAAAAATGACAAGCAATGAGCACTGCAAATGAGTCGAAAAAGTGATGAGTGTCGTACCCTGAACGGTTGAGCAACATGAATATTCAACCCGTCCTCATCCACAAAGGCAAAATGCTCGTTAATTCACCCGCCAAGCCCTCTGTTCATGATTGAAAAACACTTTACACACAACTCCCAAGTGTTGACGTATGTACTTTTCTCGAGTAGTGCTTTGTTCAGATCCTCTGCTCGAATCGCACCTCTCTAAATGCTTCGTCAATATACTGCAAATACCAAATATTACCAAAAGAGCATAAACATCTATCGTAACCTACATTAATTCTAATTATTCAATACATTCTAGTATGTAATAATAATAACTTATGCAAATAAAAAAGGCAGGATTTTTAAATACACAGAACGGTGAAATTTATGAATGTGTCTTTGGGGTCGACCGCCGGTTGGACGAACCTAACCGGAGATCAGGTTGTTGCATTGAATGACGAGGCCATGGAAACCACCTCCATTCAACAACTTTTATTATTCCAATATTCTGCTAAAAGATCAAATGCAGTAGGTATAAACAAGGCTAGGAAAAAGATTAGAATCTGTACCTCGCTACGCAGCGCACATTGTTAAGTAAAAACTGTTTGGCAAGCACCACAAACCACCATCATCATGTTCCCTCACCACCACTACCAGTACTATCATCCCCACCACCACCACCACCACCCACATCACAGCTCGCTGCCACCACCACTCAACCATTACAAAACCTAACGGAATAAAACCAATAATTGGAGCACGCGATGACCAGCAACCCGAGCCGGCCTGACCACAAAATCGAGAGTATTCAAGATAAAATAATAAACAATTTCAAAAGATTAACACAGTTTGTAACCCTCACACGTTGTTATCCTAATTCTTATGTTGCAAGCATCTTTACCTCCTGAGGACAGCAATATATGGATAATTATGTCGCAAACTGCAAGAGTCTTTTTCATTCACAGACATACTCTCTGTTTCTGAGAGAGAGAGAGAAATAGAGAGAACTATGAAACGACATTATTGTTTCAGTGTTCACCATATATACGTATTGATGAAACACAATAACTGATTTTCAAGGATATAACTGAACACGTTGACACACTCCAGAGACAAGCAACCCAAAAAGAGTCTGTACTCCTCCAACACTAATGACCAGTTGGCGAGACACAGAGCTGTACAGTGGCCGTCTGTCCTACTTTTCAACATCCAGTGTATAAAAACCCAGACGGGACAAATATGAGAACACTGGCGCTTCCCTGTTGGAGCTGGCTCCTGTTTGTCGAGGGTAAATACGCACCATGAGGGAGGATGATGGGTGTAAAGGGAGGGAGGAAGGTAATTCAGTGGGTAGGAAAGCTGACGATAATTTGGGAGGATGGGAAATGGGTATTGTTTTGGATTTGAACTTTTTGCGGGGGTGGCTGGAAGGTACTATGTAGGTGAGTAAATAGAATGGTACGTTAATAGGTAAATTGTTAGCAAGGTGAATATATGAGTGGTAGAGAGGCAGATGGAAACCTAAGGTGCAAGATATTGGTAAGTGCATACTTATTCTACCTCTTCATCCTGATGTAATTGTTGCTGCAAGATAATAGAAAATGACGGAAATATAAAATAATTGATGCATTCCAGTTGGTTACGATTGAGTGCATCATAAGGCTTTTGTTTTTGGTGTTGGGTACTTTTTGTAGTTAGTGATGCTGTTGTTGATTTTTGTCTTGCCAAAAAGTTTATGTTACTATGTCGTGTCAATGTGTTTTTATTACTGTTTCTAGTTTTTTTGTAACGTTTGCTGTTTTTGTCAGAAAACGTAGGTTGTGTGTGTTGTTGTTTTTATTAGTGGAATGCATTTGTTGTTGTTATTAATAATTACAGACAGATTATTAAGTACAACATCGGTATCAAATACAATATATATATCTTGAGAAATTTTGCTTTCAGTTATGCAGAATGACCACAGTGAAATTGGAAAAATAACAGCCAGAGCGCTCAATTCACCTGGGCTCAAGTGAATGTGAAACTGTGAATTTACATACATATATGAATATATATATATATGAATATATATATGCTTTTATACAGATTGCAAAAGAAAGTAATTTGAACATTAGCAGTGGTTTATATAACTTAGATCCATTTTTGATAGATCAATTAATGGGCGATTTGAGTAGGATAATTGGAACACATTTGTCTCACTAATTCATTGTAAAAATTTACTATCTTATGTTATTATAATCCATGTGTGGGCCTGTTGGTGGGTAAGGATAGGAGCTGCGTCGTATCGGCCAATAAGCCTTCAGCATTTCTTGTGCGGCTCATATTTGTGTCCACCTAATTCCCATTTATTTGTTATTGTACCTCACCTCACTCCACCATTCTCTCCTGCCTATTTATGTCCAATACTTGACCTGTAAAATCACTCCTTCTGAAGGTGTATTAATATACGAAAGTACTTAAGGAAATTCCTGTTTCAATTTTTCCTCCGTGGTCTGACACTATCACATTTTTAATCACGTGTTTATTTTCGTGATTTACACACACACACAGAAACACACACACACACACACACACACACACACACACACACACACACACACACACACACACACACACACACACACACACACACACACACACACACACATATATATATATATATATATATATATATATATTATTTGCATTATTATTTTTGTATCAACCCATGTATATCTTGTAACTATCAAATGCATAATAAAGTATATATATATATATATATATATATATATATATATATATATATATATATATATATATATATATATATATATATATAATATATAATATATAATGATTAAATAGAAGTTGTAGTTGCAGTTGTATTAGATGTAACTAACGACCCGACCCTAATTATATAATTATCTTTTACATAAACATTGCCACGTGTCGTGTTCTCTCTCCTAGGTTCCAACTCTGCACTTCTTGATCAACTGAAATTGGAACCCATGTTGATTGCTTTAGATTAATATTGACATGACAAGTGCCACTGTGGGATGTAATTACATATTGGCTCCTCTCACTCCGTCTCGGTTTCTGTCTATATATCTCTCTCTGTCAGTATCTCTCTCCCTCTCTTTGTTACTCTATCTCTCCCTGTCTCTTTACTCTCTTTCTCTCCCTTTCTCTCTCCCCCTTCTCTCTTTCTCTGTCTCTCTGTCTCTCTCTCACTCTCTCTCTCTCTCTCTCTCTCTCTCTCTCTCTCTCTCTCTCTCTCTCTCTCTCTCTCTCTCTCTCTCTCTCTCTCTCTCTCTCTCTCTCTCTCTCTCTCTCTCTCTCATTCTTTTTCTGCCCTTGAATTGATGTGAATGAATGTATCTTAGAGTATGCAAGTGTTAGTCTATCAATCTATAAGTGTCCCTATTCGTTTAATTGTCAGATAAATTTGCGTGTTTATATAAAGGGATATTTAACACTAGTGAAATATATGTTGTAAATATTTTATCAAACCTAAGGCCTTTATAATTGCGAGGTAATATAATTCGAAGGCTTATATATTCATCTTTTAACTCCACTCTAATGATAAAGTTAATTATAACTTTTTAATCCATTAGTGATATGGTAATTTAATATAACATAATGGTAACATATAATGCGTTATTATTATTAGGAATATAAATATCAACGCGACACTGATTTCCTGCAGTGAGGGTGCTGTGATTACGTTCATTATTGTTACAGTAGTTTAATTCAATAGAGTTACAGTGATATATTGTATTTTCGCCGTGATTTAGTCTATAATTATTATGGTGATTTAATGCATTTACTATTCAGTAATTTTTATTCATTAACACCACTAGACCCCCTCCCGGGTTCACTAAACCTTTGTGGGGGTCCCCTTGACCTCCTACAGGGGTCCCCTAGTCCCTTATGGGGTTCACTAGTCCTTTATGGGGTCCACTAGATGTCACAGGATTCACTAGACCCTTGTAGGGTCCACTAGACTTTTCGTGGGGTTCACTAGACATTTTGGGGTCCATTTCACGCTCTTGGGGGCCTCCTTAGACCATTGAGTAATCCAATAGAGGTCTCGCGGGGTCCTGTAGAAGTGAAGATCCTTAATGTACATGACTGTTCTCCCGGTTGTTGATCGTGACTCGTGCAACGAGTGCACACAGAAGTGCACTCACGGGCTCGTGAAGTGCAGGAAGACCTCATAACGTACAGTGTGTAAGAATATGACGCGTAAGTGGAGTTCTTCATAGTTTGAGTCAGAGCCCGAGATTGTATATTGTGATTGTTACGAGTTAATTATCATCTGCTAGGCTGTTACGTGCAAAGAATATTATATATTAACTCTATTATATTTGTAATATTTACAAAGATTGCGAAGATTGCAAGCATATATAAATTCTGGCCTAGTGGCTACCTAAGATTACTTAAGGCAATTGAAGATAACGATTGTTAAGGTAACCACCTTTTAACTCTATGTTTCCTAAACATGTAGTTTGTCGAGACGTTAAGAGAGAGACTAGTTATTTATTAACAGGTTTTACTTGAATTGTATTAAAAGATTAACTAAAGTCACTAAAGCCTGAGTCAATTATTATTATATCCAGTAAGTAAGGAGACGATAACATGCTTTTCAGTAGGTGTTATCTTAGTAAGTTTCTGTTGTGAAGATGTTTTGGACTTACATGTACTCTGTATACATAAGCATCGAGTTATGTGATCCCTCTGTTACTAGATTAGGATTATCCACATATGATGATGACTAGATTAGTTATCAACATTTGTTTTCTGTTAGGTGTTTATGTACTTCCTGGAAACTCCCCCCTAAACACTAACAGCAAATCAGACCAGCTGACCTAATGTGTTCCTCGGGAGGGCGCTCTGTAAAACTAATCACAGGGCAGATATTCACGAATGGTGATGACTGTTCCATAACACTG